ATATATATATATATATGTATATCTTCAGGGTGGAACATTAATCAAGTATGAGGATAAATTACGCCTACTCGAAATTGCCCAAGTCCCAAAAGATCATGTAGATGATTTCAAATCAATAAAAACGTTCAAGTTTTTCAATACAAATAATTTATGGATAAAACTTAGTGGTACGTGTTTTCTCTCTTTCAATTACACAATTATAACTGATTCGTGATTGTAACATTTATTTTTTACACTTTTAGCTATTGAAAGGGTACTGGAAGAAAATTCCTTGAATATGGAGATTATTGTAAATAACAAGACCTTTGAACATGGTTTAAATATCATTCAATTAGAAACCGCTGTTGGAGCTGCTATGAAATCATTTGAAGGAAGTATTGGTAAGAAACAACCAATTTTTTTGTTCTGCGTGAACTTTCAAATTTCTTTAATGAAATTAAATGTTAAATTATTATCTTAATTTAATTCAACAATATGATTATAACTGTATTATAAATGTAAATATGTAAATAGGTATAAATGTTCCACGCAGTAGATTCTTACCAGTCAAAAAGACATCAGATTTAATGCTTGTTATGAGCAACTTGTATACTCTTCGCAATGGTTCATTAGTAATGAGTCCCCAACGAATGTTCCCTACAACACCTCTTATAAAATTAGGCGATAATCATTTTGCAAAGGTTGTTATTCTGTTTCTATAATTTCCATGAATCTTTTATACCTAAGATATTTTATAATCGAGGTAAAATTTTTCTTGTAGGTTAAAGAATTTCTTACTAGATTCCCAGCTATACCAGATCTGCTGGAGTTAGACCATCTTACAGTGTCTGGTGATGTTACTTTTGGAAAAGGAGTAACTTTAAAGGGAACTGTTATAATTATTGCAAACCACGGAGAACGTATCGATCTTCCTTCAGGCACAATTTTAGAAAATAAAATAGTATCGGGCAATTTACGTATTTTGAATCATTAAGTGAAAAGAAAATACATCTGTTGCACAATATAAAGATTAAGGGAAAAATGCATATAGTGTACATTTATTTAATATCGCAAATGAAATGTGTACAAAATTTATAAATTGAAAATAAATAAATAACTGTTATATAAATAAACAAAAAACGGTAAAAAAATGTTGTTTTATAAATTGCATTTGATATTTTGAATTCTATTCGATTTAATTTTTAATTCTGTTTTTGTTTCTTTTCTAAATTCTTTCGTTAAATTTTTACATATTACAATTTACAAATTCTTATTTATTTCTTGCTACAATTTTTATTGAGATTTTCACTTTTTATTAAAAAAATGTGAGAACTGTGATCGTAATGAATACTTACTAAGTGTAGTTTACACGAAGAAGTGTAAATAAAAATTATTTTACAAAATATGAAATGAAATACCCAGTTAAAAAAAAATCATTCATTCTACTATGCACAACTTATATTTGCAACAAGACAAGAGAATAAAATTTCTGAAATTTCATTTGAAACTTCATTTTCAAGGAAACTGGTCTACTTGACCAAGAACTGACCCGGTGCGCGCGCAATTGGTAAATTTTTAAATTTCATTTTCCCGAAAACGAAGTATTACGTCAAAACATTTTTATATATCTTTAATTTGCTTTTTTATGTAAAACTGTCTCTTTAGCGATTATATCACGACTGTCGAGCCATTTTGCGTTACAAGGAAACTTTGCAGCCACTTTTGGCGCCAAATTCTCAACCAAGAGGTTAACTGACTTTATCACTAGCTGTATCAAATCGTCATAATAAACATACTTACTATATCTAGTTTACATAAAGAAATGTAAAACTTATTTTACAAAACGTGAAACAAGATATCCAGTTAAAAAAAAATTATCGTTTAATATGTAGAAATATGTATATTTGCAATGTATATTTGCAATGACGAGTGAATAAATATTCTCCAACTTAAAGCCTCATTTACAGAAAAAGCCGGTGTACTTGATCAAGAATTGGCCAGTACGCGCGCAATTGAAACTTTGAAATTTCAAATGAGGTATTACGTAAAATAAATTTTTATCTATATTTTTAATTTGTCTTTTCACGTAAAATCGTCTCTTTACCAATTATATTACGTATATTACCTGTCAAAGCATTCTGCGTTACAAGAAAACCTTGCAGCCACTTTTGGCGCCAAATTCTTAACCAAGAAGTTAACTGACTTTGGCGCTGACAATCATGATGAATTGGCAATCAGTGGAAACACGTGAAAGAACATCCATAACCTATTGCGCCTTTTCCGCGCAAACGTTCGCAGCATCACCGAAATATTCCGTGTGAAACTATGCTCGTTCTCTGTTCCTTTTATATTTTCGGCGCTAAGCTTGAATGTCTGATACGTGTAACGCGGTTAGTTCTTTGCTCGAGTTAACTTCGAGCGGTGGTGGGGATAATACAGGTAACGCGGTCGCTATCCTACAAAACGCCACTGTATTTTTCAGGTAGCGTACTTTCAGGCTATGCTTTCATTTGAATAATTAATGCGAACGTAGATATGTGCAGGTGATATATACGCGCGTTAAATAACGATGTTTAATATGCAAATTATGTGTTGCACTTACAATCGGTTTCCTAGAATTCTGTAATGTTCTGTCGTTGCATTTTTTTATTCCCAAGATCCTTGGGAAACTTGACTCATTCCTATTTGTATTTAAATGAACTTTGTAATGAATTTGTCGAAAATTATTTTGGTGCACGCAAGTGCACATGTATTTTGTTTGTTTTAACGACGGATTAATGCAACGAAACTCTATGTAAGATTTTTTGGCAAAGATATTCATAATTTTATTATAATCTTATCATATTTTCTCATATCTTATCATATCTTTTACGATTCTGAAATGTTTGCGACAAAGTAAACGTAATAAAAAATTAGTATTTAACACGTTCGTTTTGTTTTGTTTTTTTGATACTCTGTTTGATACACATTAATTATTATCTAAATTCATTCAAAATTACTAATTTTCTTTCCATTTTAAAAAGAAAAAGGTACTCTGTTCACATTTCAATATTTATCATTTTATGAAAAAAATTTCTATATTTTTATATAGAACAATGAATGATTTTTGTTACGCTTTGTACATTTTGTATGTTAATTTCACAAGGAAAATTTAATTGCAGAATATCCTATTAAATGGAGCAGGTCAAGAAGAGGCCAAAATTGTTTCATTGCAGCCAGTCTCATAACATATTAAGAGACTTGATGCTTAGAGATTTTGGATTTTTGTATTATAATTGTTACAAAACTAAAACACGTGCATTAGAATTGATAGCTGAAATGAATTTAGTTGGGAAAAAGCATAAAGAATTGGTGATTATAGAACTGTTAATTTGTAGAATTGTTTGTTTTCATATTATTTATTATTTTAATATTCTTTCAGGAATATGACCTGCCAGGATACCCTAAAGCAACATTTTTAATGGTTTTCAGCCCAGATGGGTGAGAAATTGAGTGTTAAATGATTTTATATTATAAATTAATTAAATTAAATTAAATTTTTAGCACCAAAATGGCATCGGCACATGGGAATCACAGTGTTTACATTACTGATGTAGCAACTAGGAAAAATATCAAAATCCTTTCTGGCCATCCACGTACTCCTTGGTGTATAGCATTTCATCCTTCATCTAGTCATATATTAGCTTCTGGTTGCCTTGGTGGTCAAGTACGCATTTGGGATTTGAGAGTTAGTAATTTTATTTAACTATGAAGACAAAATATTTACTCCAAAATGTTTTACATATCGTTTACTTTGTGGAAGTAGGATGGTAGTAAGGTTTGGAATACTGAAAGTCAGACAGTGATAGCTTCTCTTGCTTTTCATCCATCTGAAAAATTACTCGTCATAGCAACAAATAATGAAATACATTTTTGGGACTGGAGTCAATCTGAACCTTTTGCAGTAATATCTACTAAGACCAGCATAGAAAAAGTAAGGTGAGTTTTGATATATTGTATACTATGAAATAAATTATAAACTATGAATTAATAAATGCCATATAAGGAAAATTATAGTACAACTGCTAGAATTAAACATAATTATCTTAGATTGTATGTTTTAGATATGTAGCTTTTGACAATTTAGGAATGAAATTAATCACAGGCATTGGAAATAATTGTATAAGAGAATCGAAATTATTCACACAGCATTTACACGGGTGTGTATGGAATACATATTACTAGATCTTTAACATATCAGTAATATCAATTTATCATTTCACATAGTACTCAGTCAAATTTACGCGGTAGTGTATCAACAGATAGTGATGAAAGCTCCATGCTACAATATATCTATAATTCAAGGGAACGCTGTGGGCATAGAAGAAGAAGAGAGTTTTACGCGAGCCTTCCACGTGATGTTGACGAAACACCTGTGCCAGGTAAAGATGATTTAAGAATTCAAGACACTTTAACTGCCACTTAACTTTTGTTAAGAGATTTTGAAGAGTATGACTGGAATAATTACTTTTAGAAGATGTATGTTTTGAATTAGAATCTTTTTTTATATTAAACTCTAGGTACCAAGTCAAATTGATCAATTGCAAGTATGAAGTACAGTTTATATTTATATTGACTAAATTTTGACTAAATCCAAAATCATAATTTCCTAATTTTTGAATAAGAATAACTTTGAAAATCAATGCAATTTGTTATTTTAAATTTCATTGGAATTTTATGGAAATAGCTGATTCATAGAAAAGTACTCGTCGATAGAACCCGTAGCTTTAAAAAAGCTTTAAAAAGTTTTTAAAAAAGTTTAAAAAAAATAAAATATTTAAAATATTTAAAATATTTAAAAAAATAAAATAAGTTGGTTTATCAGAAAAGTGTTCATTTAATATCTGTTATTTAATGATATACATATATGTATGCATTTTAAAATAGTGATTACGGGGTTCGTTATACAAAAAATAATAAAACTAATAAAACTAATTTATATACAACAAAATATTAAATTTTTTAGAAGATGTCTCAGCAGTAGTGTTAAACTTCTCAGGAAGCTCCGTCAGGAATTATCGTATACAAGCCTGGGACTTCTCTAAAGGAGAAATACCTGATATCAAAAACTGTAAATATTACCTTTTACACTTTATATTTAAAGCATAGTACATTATTCACAAAGTACTTCTTATATTGTAGCTGAAAAAAATATTGTTATACACAAGTGTAAAATTCGTAATGATGCTAGTATAAATATCTCTTCGGACGGAACATTATTAGCAACGTGTTTTATAGGAGCTGCAGGTGAGAAATTTCTTTAAATGAATAAATTATGCATTTAATTGTTCTGCAACAAACGAAATCTAAATTTTTTAAATAGATATTATCTATTTAATTTTGATACTTTTAGGAGTCTATAGTTTACAATGGGAAACGTTAGGGGAAGAAATTTATTGGACGCAAGTGTATAATGTGATTTCTGTATCGATTTCACCAACACAGAAACATCTCTTAGTAGGTCTAGCAAGAAATGGTGTTGGAAATGAATATACTATGGCTATTATTTACAGACTAACACATAAACAATCCCAAAACAACAAACCATGTATTCAAGACTTGGACTTAGAAGTTAGAGACTTACTACAAAATAATCATTCAATTAGAGGAGATACAAGTATAAATTGTATCAGGTGGGCACCTCAACCTGGTCAAGGTCTAATTTATGCTACTAATACTGGTCGATTAGCCATCCTTCATTAATCTATTTGTAATATTATTGTGAGAATAGAGATTCCATGTTCGTGATTATTTTATTAATAAGAAATTATCTACGAAGACAGAAGTTCATTGTTACGTGTCTTTCAAGGAAAATATGAGAAAGATAATAAAATTTGTTATTAAGTTCTCAATATCATATATTTTGACAAGCAATTTAATATAGTGGTATAATTTAAATATGATTTTTATCTTTATTTCATTCAATTTTGTTGATTTCAATATTTTCATTTTTAAATCTTTTCGTATAGATGACTTTTTCATTTACAGTATTACAGAAACATTGGTGCATTAATATCAATACATATATTTATCGAAAGTAAAAAGTGCAGGGTACTTGAATGGAAGATTTATAAATAAATTGACACATATTTTTTTAAGAATTTTCTAATTTTATTACATTAAAATACATAAATACATTCAAATAAAAAGAAGAATAATATTTTAATATATAATAATAGGTTATTGTATAAATCTATTGTGTAGGTTATTGTTAATGTTTTTACTAACAATAATAAAAGTATTCACTTGGATAATACTTATCCAAGGGAATATAATATCATACGTAGACGTAATTGTTATTACTGCCACATTCAATATGTTATAATAGATGAAATCCCTTATACAGACTAATGAATTAAACCAATATAAAAGAAGAAATAACTATAAAAAAAATTTCTTATTCAGCTTTATTCAGCTTTATTCTTTTCTAAATCTTTCAGAGGTATTATCTCACCGATAGTCTTCCTCAAATTGGTAATTTTGAGATCAAGAACAAAGATCAATGTCAGTGAATTTGTGTCAATAAAAATATTTAAAGTCAATAAAAAAGTCAACAAATCTATCATTATCTCTTTTTCTTTTACTTCATTCTCAGTTATAGACAAACGTAAGTTTTTGTGTTACAAGTTCTCCAAACTTAGAGTAAATTGAACAAGAATGATTTAATTTTTGTATAATTTACACATTTGTAGAATTATTATATTTACAGTAAATAAAAATAAAAGATACAGAATTATTTATAAAATACTTTTAATAACAAAATTTACAAAAAGATTATAGATATTGTTATTTTGCATTATGGTATTTTACTAATAATGCATGTTTATAATTATTTTCTAAAAGTTACATAGGAACATATATCAATGAAAAGAAATATGTACAATTTTATAATTTCCAACGCACATATTACTTAAATCTGGGTTTTCAAATAAATCATTTTGATATCATTTTAAAGGAACAATCAATAATATGCAGTCAACTTGCGAATTTAACCATCATCGTACAATAAGCTGTGGAGTAATTCAGGAGTTTCTGGTTGTTTCAAGCAAAGCGGTACTTTATCTTGTATATTCGTCGAATATTTATTTTGTCCTAATTGGCCAAGATCACGATCCAGGATTGTTTCAATTTCCTCATCGATGTATAAAGAATTCTCGTATATTTTCGAAGCATATGAACTACTTTGCTCTGTAGAATTTATAGTTTCGTTTATCGTATTTTGTAGCTCAATCTCCGACATGTTAACTGTATGAAAATTATTTAATGTTGTCGGTATATCACAGTCAGCAATTTGGTCATTGTACTGGGTTTCCCCTCTTATCTCAGTCACAGAACTATGTATCTGATGATATTTCACCTGATGTACTTTCAAATTGCCAGTTTGCGAAAATGTTTTCAAACAAAAAGTACAATGATACGGCCTCTCACCAGTGTGGCACCTAGAATGTCTTTGTAACTTATATTTTGTTACAAATTGCTTGCCACATTCAGAACATACGAACGAGTTGTTTTCCATCCGCTGATTCTGATTATTAACAGACTGTTCCATGTCCATGTGAAAATTGATCATGTGAGACTTTAGTGAAATTTTATAACGAAATGACTGATGGCAATTTGCACATTGAAATTGCTTCTTTCCTTCGTGTCTTTCTTTATGCTTCATTAAGATTTCTTGTTGGTTGAAAGACATTTTGCAAATCTAAAAATATATAGGAAAATTTTGAACATCTCTTAAGATGTTCAATATACATAATTTTAATTCTGTTAAAACGTTAAATCTTAGCTATTACTTTAAATTTACAGTATCAAAGAGGTATAGAAAATAGTTTTATTATCTTACGAACATTGCAAACAAAAGGTCTTTGTCCAGTATGAATACGTTTATGTCTATTTAAATGTGACTGACACCTGAAACTTTTAGCACATATCGGGCATGTACTTTTCTTTATCCCCTGTTTATTTGAGGTATTTTTTGGTGCTGCATCATTTTCTTTTAGCTGGTACAACATATCCTGAAAGCATAATACTTATATACCTGTTGAAAATATGAAGTACTTGGTATAACAATTAGTCTATAATTCAACAAGGTATTTTACTTTAGATGTGTTAATTTTGATCATTTAAAATTTTTAAAATTGCAGAATAAAATACTCTCTGAATTGAAAAAAAATTAGTTTCCTATCTAAAGTAGAATTACACCCCCAATTTACGAATAGTTAAAAATTATTTTGTACTTCTGCAAAATCAATCTCCAAAGATGGGGCCGCAAGTTGCTTTTGCACATTAGCTACCATCAAGCAAAACTCGTCGAATATGTAAATCTTTTGTTCACAGTCAATGCAAACATATTTGGAGAATGCGTCAGAGTTTGAAATATTTATCACCTGTAAAGCAAGAGATGTGAGAGTGAATTAAAAAGAAAAAAAGAAAGTTTTTACAGAAAATGCGTTTGAATGGTACCTCTTTCGAAAAATATTTGTTTATAATAGACAGTAACACACTCCCTTTAATTTTGTCTGAGAACAAATCTGTGCCTTGCTGTTTTTCCTTACCACATAGGCGACACAGCTTCAAGTTTGTTTTGTGCAACATCATTGTTAGTCTAGTTATAACGGAAAATCGAGTAAACAAATCCTGCGATTTTGTCGTATATTTTTTAAAATAGCATGCACAACTACGTAAAGTTATCTCGCAAGTTTTCCATTGAAACGAATACTGGTATTGTTAATTTAGAAGTTGCGCATAAATTTTTACACATTTTTTTACCGTCTTGTTTTTTGATTGTGTATATTTGTATACACACATACATTACAGGCCCGCACACATAATATACATTCAACAATTCAGTTTTTGTGTACTTTAGTCCTGTATATAAGAATTACTGTTTAACAGTGGTTCTCAACTAAAACGATCGTGCGTTTAGAGCTGCACATCGATCGAGAAGAGACAATTACGAAAGAAATCATTTCATAATCTTTGCGTGCAGAGAAAAGGAAAAATGAATATATTACATCGTTGAAAATTATTTTATAGATATCATTATAGGTATCTTGAAATTATGCATGAGTTCAAATTTAATTTTATCACTAATATGAATTCTGCACGAGTTCAAATTTAATTTTATCACTAATATGAATTCTTTTACATAAGAGATTACCAATTGCTCGATATCAAACACTTTTAAAAAGAAATTTGACTGATAAAATGTTTTGACAGAAGTATTATAGTAATACTTTAAATATAATACTTTAAATATATTTAAAAATATTTTATTTTCATGAGAAAATTATATAATTCATATGCCTTGAATGATAAATTTTTAATGATCACGTACAATATAATAAATGATGTCGTAAAATGTATATTTGAAATTACAATGTCTTTTTCCTTTTTTATTTATTTTTATTTTTGACAAAATCTTAAAAATTATAATATCAAATATAAATACAAATGCGTATTCTAAGACATTTTCTTAGATACAGTTTATTAATATAAAATATTAGTTTGTTAGAGGTCTAATATGAAATATGAAGCAAGTTTCGTATTGCATACATTAATATATGTACATTATATATAAGATACACTAGAGCTAGATTTTTTTCAAATATCCCTTTGAAATGTATAACATTTCAAGATGTGTAGAAATACATCTCAGGGGGCATTCACTGATATTGATCTCCTCGCTCCGTAAATCACCTTTAATATAAATTATGTTGCTTAAATCTTATCAAATTACAGAGTCACTATTTATAAAAAGTTCCATTGTTTTAAAAGAAAAAAACTTAGACTACTGGTCTCCTCTTAGCAAACGCTAAGTCTATCACTTTTCTAAATATAGTCATTATATTCGTTATCATAACAAGTAATTACAAAGTAAATTTAATCAGTGTACATCTTGCATGCTATGCAGATTTAGTAAATTGAACAGAAATAGAAGTGTTTTTTGGATATCAAATAAGCGCAGACGAAATATAATTAGGAACATTACAGAATGCAAAAGAGGAATAAAAAAAGAGCAATTGTAGTACACAATATGACACGTTTCAATGATACAATGCTTCATAATTTAAATGGATGTCTGTTCTGAATATATTAGAGCAATCGTGTATATGTCTATGGTAGATGTATATAACTATGTATCACAATTTATTTCTTTAGAAGCATTACTGCAATATACCACAGAGATATTATCTTGTAAATTAAGCAAAAAATCTTGAAATTGTTGTTACGATGGAAGACTTGAAAGTTGATACTGTTATACCATTTGCTTTCAAGTACAATATGTTGTACTACAAATATTAACATCTTATTGACCATCACGTTGATGCATTGCATAGAACAATACATTGTGAAACAGTGACTGAACATAAGCTTATTGCGCACTAAGAATTCGCATGTTAAATTAATGTTCATTTGTACAAATCATTTAAGAATGATAATTTAGAATATATACACATAAATTACTTGGAATAATGCTATAGAATATATAGGCAGGGATAATAAGCTCCAATGGTAAATTTTAAATAAATAACAAGTTAATAGCAATATTACAGTATTAGTCAACAAGGTGTCAATAAAATTACTTCATTTATAATACAACCTCGTGAGAAGTACGTAGACCAAGTATAGCAGTTTATCATAGGACGCAACCAGACTGCAAGATTGTCTTTACAATGCAATTCTATTTATAAAAATAGTTACGCATAAAAAATTGTAAATCTTAATTCTTTAGAAAATAAGATTATTAAGATAAATAAAACTTGCATTACATATACTTCTTTTTTGGCTACTTTCAAGCAAGTATTTGGCATTTTTTAATGCATTCATTTATTTACATTTAACCATTTCTTTATTTCTCTTTTTTTAATTTTTTGTTTCATTTTTTATAATATATAAAACCAATTCACTTGTTATAGTAAAAAATATACTTTTTCGTTTTTGTGTTCATAAATGAAATAGTCTTGTTTAGGCAAAAGTGCAGATATGTAAATATTATCCTTATTTCGATACACTATGAAAGCCATTCAAAATTACTTATTTATGTTATTACATTTTAGCATTAATTACAATTTTATATTAAGACTTATACTTGTTACTTTTTAAATTCCCTTGTAACATGTAGTATGTTCAATTTTTGGTAGTAAAGTACAAAAATAAAAATAAGCTGCAATTACTCTACAATGGTGTATCAAAGATTTAATGAAAATTTATATTATTTTAATTTTTACAAACACAATTAATTATAATATAAATGTTATCTTACTATAATTTTTTTCTTTTTTTAAATATTTATACGATCTCAATCTCCAGGCATCGAATGTTACGAAACTATTGTAAATAAAATAAGTGACTCGTTTAAAAATATGCATCGATTTAATTACAATCTTTTTTTACAAAATTGATATAATTTAAAAGTATTTTTTACATGAAAACATTGCACAATAATAAATATAGTCTTTTTTCAAAAATTTAAAACACTTCATTTGATTGGACTCATCAAAACTTATTATAACATATTAATTAATGATGCAATAAAAGTTCTATACGCTATTAGATATATACATATGAATTTCTAAAAATAATTAAATTAAATATTTAAATTAAAATGTATTAATTTTTTTTGTAAATATTTCAAATATTTGAGAATATACTTTAAACTTTCATAATTTTACTTATGCTTTAATATAAACTTGAAAAATTTACTTAAAGATAAGTTTTACCAATCAATTGAATGTAATTTATCATTTGAAATAACCAAAATTTATAAAAACTACAAGCTACTGTAAAAGTTTTATTATAATGCTGCAATTGTTACAAATTGTTTCTTCTTTTATTAATTAGAAATTTTTATAAACGAATTAATAATTAAGATCTACTATATAATAGTATTTAATTATTATTTGCATTAGTCAAAATTTTACAGATACAAAGTTATATATATATTTATAATTATTAACTTAATATTGATATTGAAATGAAAAGAGAAATAATCGTAATTAAGATTAACTGTAAATTACTGTATTTGTTAATACATAAAAATTACAACATAAATAAGTTAGCGAATATATTTGTAAAAATGGATGTTACTAATTTTTGAGACAAATAAAAATTCCGAATGACTTTAAAAATACAGTATATTAAAACTGTAAAGAGAAAGCTTAATAAAAATAATACGAGCAATATTTAGTATAATATTTAATAATTTCATCTAGTAAGAAAAAAAAAATTTCTAAAGTATTGAAAATTTTGATCATACAAAATCATAGAAGTATGTAATCTATTATACTTATATATAAATAATTAGTAATGTGTAATGAATTTTATCTGCACTTTATAACTAATATCTGAACAAATGATAAACAACAGATTAATATAAATCAATTTATACTGAAATAATAATATAATGTTTAAAATAAGGTTACATTTTACTTTCACTTTTTATATTCGTTATATTTTATGCTAATACTAATTTAAACTATATATGAACACAAATTTAGAAAAGTATTCGAATATATAAAAAGGTACTTCATACATATCACGTTATTAATAAAACCTTAACTTACAAGTTCCTCAAAAATGTTTATTGAAATTATTTATAAATTCTCTTAAAATGCACAATATTCATGCACAAAAATTTGATAAAACTAGATGCAAATTAATCTTTATAACGCGAAATATTTTCCTATATATTATTATTAAGAAATTTATTATAAGTTTATCTATTCAAATCATTCAAATAGAAAATAACCGATCATAATTTGTTCCTTCTAATTAAAGAAGCATTAACAATATGAAGAGTAAAAACTTTATTATTACTTTTATTTGTGTAACATTTGTGTAATACTTTACTTTGTATTAAATACTAATGTATTAAGAGGTCCCTGATTAAAAAATTAATTTTTCCAGCAGCTATACAATTCTTCACAACAATTCTACTATTTGTATGAAACGAAAATTCAAGTTGAAGTCAAAGTTTTTAGAATACAAATACTTTTGTAAAAACAAATGTTAACAATTGAAACATTACAATATTTTATCATTATACAAAAAAATCAAACTATGAAAGACTGTGGAATTACATGAGCCAATCAAACAAAAATAATTGAAACAAGAAAATTTAACGTTCGTTAAACAATGCTTATAAAACTTGTATTGCATTAAAATACTTAAATAAAAGAATGTACAAGTTATTCAGTAATAAAAATGATATAGTTATGAAAATTTGAAATTGGTTAATACTATATTAGAAATACATTCGTAAATTGATTTGTTCACATACCTTGATTGAGAATTTATGGACATAAGTAACATACTTACTTATATCCAAATTTAGGATAGAATGGCAATGCTACGTCTAGGACCGCCTATACATATGTTATCTAAGCTTGACCATCTTTTAATACCAGTACGTAAAGCTTCAGCAGTAACTTTGTCTTCATAAACTCTGGACATGGCTTCCAATTTCTGGGCTTTCTCTTTACTGAGTGGTTCACTAGGGAATGTTAATTCGTTTGCTTCTGCAAGTGTACGAAGATCAAAATAATACTTAGCGTATACGCTTGAAGGAACGTTTATATTGAACTGTAGCATTTCCAAGAATTGCCTTTCTAATTCATTCCTAAAAAAAAGAAAGAAAAGAAAATATGAAACGTTTAATGAAAAATATTTTCGACACATTCAATCATAATTATAATATGGCGTCATCTTACATATCTTCTACTGTAATATCTTTAAGAATTTGACAATAATCTACATTCCATACAGCCTGGTCATCCCAGACTTTTGATGCTAATAAAATAGCTCCAAGTACTATTCGTTTCCAATTGGCTGGAGTTATGTCTATTTCTGCATAAGTGAGCAGACGTTCTAAGTAAACTAACGTTATGATGGCACATTCAGCTGTAAGTTGAGCAGCATTAAACAACGTTCTCACAAATTTGTAGATTTGTTTATGCTCTGGATTTTGTTTATCGTAATCTTCTGAAACACCTTCCCTCTATAAATAAGAAAGACGTTACAAATTTACTCTTGTAAACTGCATTTTATATAACATTTTCATCTTTTCAAATTTTTATACAAAAATAAATTGCTTTACGTTGCAACACAAACTAGAAAACTATTCTCTGTGTGGAAAACTGTACATTTATCTACTCAATTCAACAATTGAATAATCAAATTACCGTTAAGGGATGAAGTTTCTCATCAAATATATCAATCTGTCTCTGTGAGGTTCTATTTTTAATGTGGTAATAAACAGCTAAGGCAACGCATTTCACAGTATTCTTGAGATTTGGTTGTGAAACAGTACTGTCATCTAAATATATTGTACTGCAGCTGCTACTCTTTTTCAACGGCCTTACATCCGCGATTTGATGTTGGCTTTTTTTTCTCACCATGCCATCTAAAAGAAAACAAAAAGAGGCGTGTTCCTTAAACGCATAGCTCTTGGTTCGATAGTGACGCAGGAACTAAGAAACATCTAAAAAGCACCATTGGGTGGATTTGGAATGAAGTATTTCGCGTTTTCAGAATGAAGTATCACTAAAATTCCCAAAAATGCATATACATACTTTCAATAGCCTGTTTCGAACGTTCCATGAAAATAGTACCAGCGCACGGATGTAACGATGGGTCTGAGTCCCAATCCTCTGGTTCACGTTCGCTAATGTGTTGTAGATTGTTGACACTAATTCCACCTTCGGGCAGATGTTCCTCGAGACCACGAGTAACACCTTCGGATCCCAATTCCTTGCGTCCAACCTGGGGGCTGGAGTAAACGCAGCAACTACTTTTGTTTCCCATTCTCGTCGAGAGACTCGTCAACGTCTCTCCAGTTGAAAGTTCATAAAATATAAATCAGAGTGCGGTACTCCGTGTTACAGCAATTACGTGGATGGCGTAATTTCGAGTCTCTCACGGCACATCCCTCGCATGTTGTGTTCAAATGGCAATCAGCTGACAAAACTGTCCGTGGCGTGAACGTGCATTCTCCCTTTATTTTCATCCGCATTGGTGCTCAAACGCACCGTACGGCAACCAAGTGGGAAGAAAACTGTATGTGCGTTGGTTTCGTACGTGGAGATCGCAACTGAAAGTTCAAGGATACCACTTTGGAAATTACTGCGACCAACAGCAAGTGACAAACGTCTATTGCATTGACAACGCCTTTGAGAACGATTCAAAGGTGCCGGTTGGGTATTTGTTTAGATCATCGGGTCAATCGAATCTTGTTTCTGCTGGTACGCACGAATTCTGACACGTTCTGTCTACCTTACGCGTCATTCCCATTCTCGCAGATCGTCCGATGCAATTTGTTTCGATATCTTTTTTGCCATGCGTTCGCATACGTCGTCCTTATCCTACTGTTTTGATATCGTATATTCATGCATAAACTACGATATGCGGACGTAGACGATAGAAGGCTCGACCTTCAATTCACCGTTCTTCGCAAGTTGTTTTGATTGGTCTCGTGACGACAGAGATTTTCCATTTCCCATGAACGTCCGAATTTCCCGACGCGCCTGTATTATCATTGGTCAGTAGCTAGGGACTTTTCTGAATTGGATGTACTTGCAGCGTTTAAAATATGAATTGCAATCTTCTCGCGGTAAGTACATCCTGCCACGACGTTCATTTTGAGAAATAATTTCTTTTCCGCTAATGTGTTTTATTAGATTGATGATTAATTGATTCTTATTATTTAATTCTTGATTATTTTTTGATATTCTTGATTATATAATATATAATTACGATTATATAATATTCTTGATATAATTCTTGATTATTTTTTGATAATAAACATGCATTTTTGTAACTCTTTTAAATTAAGTTCCGGTTGAAGGTACACGTTTGAAGTAAATTCTTCAGGTTCGAATGTTTTGTTAAACATTCGTTGAAATACCAAGAAGTTTCTTAGCAATTAATACGAAAGACGTATAATATAATGAAATTCTTCAAATTTGAGTAATTTGTTAAATGGACGATGAAATACCAAGCAGTTTCTTAATTATTAGTAAGAAAAATATATAATAAAAATGTATAATAAATATATAATAAAAATCGAGTAATTTGTTAAACATACATTGACATATCAAGCAGCTTAAATATTGATGCGAAAGATGTATAATACAATAAAATTCTTCAAGTTTGAGTAATTTGTTAAATACATGTCAAAAGTACCAAGCAGCTTCTTAATTATTAAGACAAAAAATGTATAATATAATAAAATATATAATAAAAATATGCAATAAATATATACTAAACATATAGTAAAACATACAATGAAATTACTACAACGTCATGTTGAAATTGTACCTTGCAATTATTCAATATTTGTACATGCATGAAATAAATGAAATTGTACTAATTTGAAATAAATCAAACTAAAAAGTTCCGTATAATATGAAATAATAATATAAACGTGTAATGTAACGTATCATACGTGACAATACAGCAATTGCATGCAATTATGTAAGCGAAAAAATATTAAATTTTTGATCTCGCGCGCGGTGAAGAACAGCATTTTAGATAAAGATATTGCACACAACATGCGACACATGCGCGTGCGCGTCGATTAACAAAATTTCAAGGTGGTTTTTAATTAGTTTCGTGGCATTGTGTCCATTCAAAAAAAGTGTCGTAATTTTGTTTTAAAAACAACTATACGCATTGTGTTATACATCGTACGTTATATATGCGTCACACACGCGTATTATATATAGGGAAAAACCGCGATGAAGCTCGCTCGTTGAGTTTAATTCGACTGCAAGTGCGATGGTGCAGGAGCTCGAAGTTCAAAGCGGGAAGTCAACCGTTAACAAAAAGACCGCCGTGGTCGACTGGATCGATTACATCGACTCGTCGATTACGTATGACGAATTCTTCTCGAAATACCTAGTGGAGAACAAGCCCTGTATCTTCAAGTCGAGTATAACAGAGAATTGGTCGTGCAAGAGGCAATGGAATTTAGATGGTGCGCCGGACTTCGACGTTCTCGACATATCGTTTGGTAAACAAATGATTAACCACACTTTTATGCATGTTGTACTCTTTATTAATTGAAGACGATCTTCTCGTAGGAGATTGCGTGGTGCCAATCGCTGATTGCAAAACGAGGTATTACAATTCACAATCCAAAGACGACATGAGAATGAAGGACTATCTGAATTACTGGATGGACTATGCCAAGAATAATTACCCGGATTCTATGCCGCTTCTATATCTGAAAGACTGGCATTGCCAGAAGCTGTTTCCCAATGCTCCTATGTACACTGTACCTGAGTACTTTGCATCCGACTGGTTGAATGAGTATTACATGGCACATCCTGACTTGAACGATGATTACAGATTTGTGTATATGGGTCCTAAGGGAACATGGTAAGACCACGCTTTTCAAGCACCGAACGTCAATATTCGACATTACGCGAATAAGGTGAACGAGTTTCTACATGTAGGACACCATTGCATGCAGATATATTTGGATCCTACAGTTGGTCTGCTAATATAGTTGGAGAAAAACGTTGGCTACTCTTTCCACCAGGTCAGGAAGATTTTCTTAGGGATATACATGGTCAGTTGATATACGATGCGATGTCCAAGGAACTTGAAAACTATGCTGTGTACAAGGCCTACGACAAGCGAGCAATAAAATATATCGACGTGATTCAGAAAGAAGGCGAAATTATATTTGTGCCATCTGGATGGCATCATCAAGTTTGGAATAAAGTAAATATATTTGACCATTGTCGCAAGTGCTATCTTATATTCATTGTTTATTTTCAGGAGGATACCGTTTCCCTTAACCATAATTGGATCAATGGCTGTAATATTATGAACGTATGGCACGGATTGAAAAAGGAATTGAATTCTGTAATGAAAGAAGTTAGTGACTGTAAGGACATGAGCAATTGGGCAGAACAATGTCAATTAATATTGAAATCAACATACGGAATGGATTATAATTTGTTTTTTGATTTTCTGAAGTTTATAGCTAAAAGACGTTTAAGCATGGTACTAGAAAAAGAGAATGTAATTACCTTTAATAGGTACAAACTTGGACTTAATCACTGCATATTTGATCTGCATTCAATAAAATTGACGTTAATAGATTTTATTAATGAGATGGAAGAGAAGTCCATTTATTATCTGATCTGTGAAAAGCAGCAGGCTCATAAATTGTTAAATAAGATTTTATTGTTTTTACAATCGTACGATTCAACTGCTCATACGTCCACATGATGAAAAAACAAGAAGATTAAAAATGAAATAAGAAAATGAAAATCTTGTTTCTGTTTCTAATATGTAAATATTATGCTGTAAATAATGTATGAATATGTTATGAATAAATTTTTATATAATAATTAAGTACATAATTTATAAAAATAGAAAAAATTGTCTTTTTATTACAGTTATTATTAAGAATTGAAGAAAAGAAGAAATCTGTAACATGTACTTGCAAATAAAATTTACAATTGATAAAATTAAGAGTTGTATATTATATGCGAGCGTGAATCATCTAATAAACATGGAAAATAAAAGAACAAGCAGCAAATTTTACTATATTTTTATTTAAGTATTTCTGAATCATAAAAATTATATTTATATTAAATCTTATCATTCTCCATCTAAAATAAGTAAGTATATACTATTTCACAGTAAATATAATTTTCTGCCTGTAATATTTTAAATATTTTATTTTTCATTTTAAAATGTTTCAACATCTAACACAATATAAATATAAAAACGTGACACTTTTAAATAAAAGTGTAACTTTGAAGCTTAACACTTAGAAATTAAAAAGATCAGCAAGTGACTTCGCTGTCAATTGGATAACTTTTATTAGAAACAGTTTTTTAATTTTTAAAAGTACGAGTTTTTCAAATGGTTTGTATCAATATTAATATCTTTACACTTGAAAAAAAATGTAGTACTCTAATTCAACAGTAGCAAATTGCTTTATAAAATGGGAAACTCTACTTGTCCATTTATACTGTGTTCAACAATAATACAATTTTCTTACGAGTATATTTCATTTTCTTCATGGGAGTTTAAGTACTAAAATAATAAGTGCCCGTAAACCTTTTTTTTATATTGTCTTATGCCTTACAAATTATATGTGCATAAATGCCTTATGTCTACATATATACATATATATATTGTACAACTATGTACAATTCACTACTAATAAAAATATACAAAATGTATAAGATATGTATAGATATTAGTACGTATGTTATTTATAAACACAAATAATTATGAAAACTTAGCATTGAGTGAAAAATGTGTATATAGCACAATTATTTGTTTCAGGTTTATAAAATAAAATTACAATGTAAATTATGTGGTACTATAATGTCACGTGTATTATATAGTATCTCTAAATTATTATTTTAAACTATTTTGCGTATTTATGTAAAATTACGAATTGGTCATTTTTTCTTTATACGACATAAAATATGTATATTAAGAATTTACTTATGTAATTAACTGAAAAAGAAGAATATAAATATAATGAAAATATACTGTATGATATTATATTATGTATATGTTTAGTTAAGGAAAAACCTATTATTATTAAAAGGAAATATTTCATTCTATGTGAAAATAATAATCGTAAATTTTATACTTAATTTGATTTTTAAATATATAAATACAGATATGTTCCTAACTTAGGACATATTTATTTTATAAAACAATATTTTTTTATTAATTTATCTTGAACGATTTCATAAATTGAGAGATGAGTCATTTTAATTCATACAAATTTTATATAAATCCATTATGTAGATTTTAGATTTCAAAATTTAAAAATTCATTGAAAAGTAACAAAAATGTTTTCTATGAAAGAAGTTAATATATTTTGTACATATTTTCTTTTATAAGTTCTATTAAAAATTTATATAAAATATTGCACTGATGATGATACATTTGGAAAAAAGAAGTATCACTTTGTTATTCCATGTTAAAAGAAAAAGATTGTCATGGATAAAAGGTATAAAAAGAAGATGATATTACTTTAAATTATTTCTATATAAACTAATTTTTTCGATGAAAAACAAGCAAATATAATGTATTGTGTATTTCGTTATTTACACACGCACGCACGCACGCACAAGCGCACACAAACGCACATATACACGCACGCATGTACGCACGCACATACGTACTATTGCATTTTCTCATAACTTTTTTTTTTCTTTTTATAATAGAACCAATTTTTGCTTGCATGGCAAGTACTTCTATTAAGGTATCACGTCTCACAAAGTCTTCTTATTAATTACCAACAATTAACACTATTACAAAGATTAGACTCCACGCAACGTGATTTTGTATCAATTATCGAATGATGCTTTTTTTTATACCTATATAATAGATACATATTTTTCATTGTCACATCTCATACATTTTTAACATTTTATGTTGGAAATAGATAATGGAATTGCACTCTATAATAAACATCACAAAAAAAAATCATTAAAATTAAATGATAAATTCTATTCTCAATAAAAAGAATTTTTGTAAAATTCATACAGCGTAATAAAAGACCAAATAATTTTATGCAAGTATGTGTGTACATACCTATTAAGATCTTCATTAGATGAAACAAACCGCTTGCAACACATGAAAAATATTAAAGCATGTATACAATATCTTTCAAAATATAGTGAGATCCCACTGATATAACAATTTCGGTCCTTCATTTTCCTAAGTTTTTATCATTCGCTTATTTGAATGCTCGAACACGTGAATTATACTACATATCCGGTTTATCTTCACTATATCATGAATGTTATCATAATAGTTAAATTAACAGAAATCAATATTTCGCATTCTTGTTACACTTGCTGTATAAAATGTAATTGATAAAAGAGTATTCGCCAAATACTCTCTGTAAGAAATTTCTTTAAGAATTAAGATTAAATTATTAGACTTATTTTAGTTTTCTGTCCAGCTCTCAAAATATTGTTTAAGAATTATATAGGATGTGTGGATAATGTTTGTAATGGTACTGTTGGAGTTGCAGGTGTTGTTAAAACGGGAATAGGCGTAGAAGGTATTTGTTGATGCGTTTGCCTTGGCGGTGACAAAAGTTCTTGTCTGTCTCGTTCTCTTTCCCTTCCTGGACGCCATGCTTCTAACAATGCTTCAACTCTTTCTTCGGTAGGACCCCAACGAGCGGTACCAGCTGCATTTTGTAACCACACAACTAACGTTCCGTGTGCTGCTCTAATATTAACTTCACCTCTATAATAAAAAAATGATTTTACATGTATGCATGTGTACATGTACCTAGATACATAGATATTGATACTAAAGTATTGTCATTTACTTTGGTAATATGTGTTGAAATCCATGTCTATATTCATGTTCCATTGCAGGTACCACTACTTGTTTGCGCTTAAAATGGCTACTTTCCAGTTTGATAAGAGCGTTAGGCGCTGGATCCCGCCATTCAGGTAAGAATACCACAAAAGATAAAGGCTCTGTGGAATCGGCTAAAAGACGTTCAAAATGATTGACCATAGCTTCCATAAGTTCTTCGCAATATGGTGGATTAGCTTGAAACGAGCCGCTTACGGGCCTGAAGTCCAAGAAAGGTCCTCTCGATCCAAAGTAAGAATCTGTATCAGCAAACGCTGAACAATATTGTCTAAAGTAACAATTTAATGGGGATGCAAAACATTCAAACGTTACACCGAATGATCGTTGAAGACATTCGAAAACCGTAACAGGCAAAGCCATTTGCGTTGCTTGTCCTTCGTTAATTCCAAGATATGTTTGATAACGTTTCAACATACACCATACACGAGGTAAAAACATTTCGAACTTTTTGTCATCGAAGCAATTGTATCTATATAGGTGTTCTAATTTAGCAAGATGCATGTTGTTAATACACACAGTATCACCGTGAAAGCGTAACATTGTCTGTTCACGTTCAGGAAGATAATCCACTTGTGGAAGTCGAGGAGTTGGAAGAGAAAATTGCACAGGATAACACCAAACTTTCCTTTGTGCACTAGCTGGTCCTCCCAATGGTATAACATTTCCTAAACCATTATCTTTTAATATTTGATTATTTTTATCTTTAACCTTTTTTGCATATTCTGTCGATAAGTGATAAATTTTCAGGCAAATACCCTCAACACTAGCTTTTACAGTTTCTGTAAGATGCGGTTGGCATTGTCGTTTCAAGTGTGCAAGACGATCTTGGAAATCATCGAATGTAGCACCAACTGTTCGTCTCAGCCATTGAAATGTGTCTTCTGCATTCCATTTTACGACTTTTCTACTCTCTGACGACGCTGCTCTCGATTCTATCATCTTTTTTGCAGCTTCTGCGTATCGCGACAACTGTTTCCTTGCATCACCAGTGAATTTTGGCCGGACTAATTTAATAGGGATGTCATTCATAATTTCACGATACATAGACATAGAAATTTCGGGGAAACACTGACTTGGTAAAAGAGGGTCTGAACCACAGTCTATAACTTTTCTTTCCATCAGCCATCTGTTAAAAGAATCTTTTGGAGCATCTATGGATTCACGAGTATGGCATAATTCTTGATAACATTGTCTCAATTTTGCAAGTAAACCACAGCGCAATGCCTCTGCCTCGGGATGGACGTGGGGCAAGTTTGACGGAGCCCTCTCATATATTATAACATTCGTTGGAATTTCCAAATCCCAAGGTCCTCTATTGTCAGATGAAAATATGTTTTAAAAACTTTTAAAATTCACTCGATATAGAAATAATATAAAACAAACATACGCCAGTACAAATTTTTTTGCAGCCGGTACAACACTATCCTCTGAAGCTCTGCGTTTCAGTGTACCTCCCGGTGGAATAGCTCCGTTTCCAGAAACAGGTGGTACACCACAAATGCCAAGTGGATCCGTAATCGGGTCAAACTTGAATACAAATACAGTTGATATATATGAGTTTATGCTTTTATTAATTCACAATAAAAATTTATACCTTAGTACCTGAGGTTTTAATGGTGGTATTACCCATAACGATTCTCCAGTTAATTTGTTCCAAAAATACGGACGATTTTCTCGCTTACTCCAGAACTTCTTCCAACCTTGTTGTTGAAGTTCAGGTGAAAGTTCAGGTTCTGGAAATGTTCCTGGTGGTGTGCCCTGCAAATGAACAAAAATTTATCATGGGAAGATTACATTGTTATATTTGCTATAACTATATTTATCTTGATTATTGTCAAACTATACTTGTATTTCTCAACTCATTCAGCCATTCATATGCTGAATTTGTGGAATAGACGCTATTAACATATTCTTTAAACACATTCTTATGGATTTAAAAATAAAGTAACATAATTAAGTTAATTATGAAATAAGTTATTTTGTAAATGATATTTTTTGTTATGGAAAATATACATTTTGTTCATGCAATTAATTAAACCTGATGAATACCTGTGACATTAGACTTGATTGTTGCATGTGACCTAGTTGCGAACAGTGGTCGGGTATAGTTTGTGCTGAACTTAACATAGGCGTTTGAAGTTTCACAGGAGTAGGAACTATAACTTGTGCAACAGCCGGAGTCGCGTCCTGTTGCAACGATTGATGATGATGATGCATGGTGGACAATGAGGACGCAGACTGACCAGACAGTGTCTCCCAAGAAGAAGTGTTTGGTATGTCTTGTTTCCCTCCACTTACTTCATTCATTGTACAATGCTCGTTTTGCTAGATACTTCAGCATACAAAACACAATTATTTTCGTTAATAAATATTCCAAAGCGTTAATAATTTTTCTACTTTAGATCAAATTTATGTATTTTTCCTTTTTTATAAATACAACACTTAACGCTTTATATGCAATAAACATATCAACATAACATTTTATCTCGCTGATTTTTTACAATACAAGATATACCAAATATACTTACGTATTTGATGACTGCGAATTACTTACAAACATGAATTCTATATTTTTAAAAAGCAGCGAACCGCAGTAAAAAAAAAAGAAGAAAAAAACTTTCATATCGGCGAGGTGTATTTTTCCTGCGAGTTGTTAAAAACGATGGATCAAAATTACAACGTTCTCCGCGTATCTTTCGCAAATTTGCGCACGCAGAGACAACGCAAGTTGTAACAACACCTCACGATCCAGTGTTTGTTTACATGCCAGCAAACCGTCGCGATGGGCCCGCGATCCTCTGCGACGCGAAATTGCGCGAATCCGCGGAAAACGCGTAGCTGTCGATGCAACACTTACTGGCGTTAACAGCGTCGATGAATTTCTCGTGAACGTACAACAAAACTTAGAATTCATTCATGATTTCCAAGATTCAACGCAACGACCTCCACCCGTGAGATACCATTTGCTTGAACTGAAATTCCAACGACGACG